ATGGATGTGGATGTTGATGAAACATGTTGATGAATGTCACATAACTCAGCTTATCATATTCCCAACCTACCTTAGGTAGTCGACACGTGAGCCTACTAGTACACTCGATCTTATTATAACAAATGAGCCAGACTGTGTAATCTTCATTAAACAAGGCGATTCTTTTGATGACACTCCAATGGGCTAAGCACACTGCTTCATCAAAGGCCAATTTGCTGTTGTATGCCTCAATAACTCGCCTTTTTTGCCGCTAAAACCTCAACTCATTTGGAGTCGAGCAAATTACGCAGCAATATCAGCACATGTTGCAGCTTGTTGACTGGGAAACAGTATTCACTGGACTAAATGCAAAAGATAATCAACTTCTAGCAAACGTGTACAATGAAGCCACTAACCTACACATTCCGTCAACTACCACTCCTTTTACAGGAAAACAGGAGCAATGGGTAACACCAGAACTTATTGAGGCGGTCAAAGCTAAACGCACCTCTTGGGCCAAGTACATTAATGCAGGTTAAGATACGCACAAATTTCTCAAAGTATTGCATCGCACTGCCTGCAAAAAAGTTCAAACAATGATCAAAGCTGGTAGGCAGAAGTGCAAAGAGCTACTCGTCAGGGATTCCGAAAGCTACCCAATTTATTCCACATTTACAAGATTGAAACGGAGCTATATAACATCTCGCCGTGCCATAAAAAGCCGTATTGAAAACAACTTTGAAGCCTTTGACAACGAACAGTTAGAAAATGTAGTGGAACACCGCGATGAAAATGATTCAATCAGGAACGCTTTTGAGGATCTATTTAAATAAAAAGATCATTTTTATATATTTTATTTAAAGTTAATAAATATTGATAATTAAATCTTTTTTAAAGTCGTACATTTTCTTTTTGTATATTATTTTTTTACGTTACTACGGGAGTTGTAATAAGCGGTACGGTGATTACATTCTCTCTCTGTTTACTAGAACTAGAAGATGTTCTTTTTTTTTAAACAAAAAAACCCGCTCATTTATTTTGTAGATAAAATCCTCCTCCTACTATAAATCCTATATAAATCCTACTATAAATAAATGGGTAAATTCTGTGAGTTACGTCCAAAATGGTGTATAACTGTTGGATTGTCAGGCACCCATCGTATTTGTGTATGTACTATTCACCAGAATATAAAATTAATGCTTGCAAGTAGCCCAGTTACAGTGGACTATAAATGTTTGATTGAAAAAATAGTTTGTAACATTGAATCTAAAGAATGTATGCTTCATCGTTGCAATAAATGTCCAGGAACTGAAATGTTAAAGGCTTATCTTGAAGAGCAGTTTAAAGATTTTGAATCTGATGAAACTATAACATTCAAGCAACGGATAAAAGTAGATCGTGAAACCTTAGATTCCTTGCAATTACCAGTAGAGGACTTCATAGATGAATTAATTTCAAAAGTATCAGTTTTATCTAAGCATTATTTTATTGCCAAAAACCAAAACAACTATTTGCGATCATTGAAAAATGAAAAATTCAAATGAGTTAATCATTTTGATGAATTTTTCTGAAAACTATTCGTTTGTTGTGCAAGATGCTGTTCAAGGGTTTTACTGGGAAAACAGCCAAACAACTTTGCATCCTTTTGTTGTTTATTACAAACTTAATGACATACTTAAAAATAGATGCTATTGTGTTATAAGCGATTGCATGCATCATGATACTATAAGCAGTCATGGAAAATCTCCCTGTGATGGAATTGGAGTAACTGTGAAGCGTTTAGCAGCACGTGCCAGCCTTCAACGGCCAATTCATAATCAAATTTTAACGCCTTTAAATTTATATGATTTTTGCTAGGAAAGTGTTACAGGTATTTCATTTATTTATGTTGCCAGTGGTGAAGTAGACAGTGTAAAAGACAATCAAGAGAAACGATTTAGTACTGGAAACACAATTGCAGGAACCCGGGATAATCACAAATTTGTACCAGTAAATGAAAATCAGATTTGTGTAAGTCGTATTTCAAATGACAATACATCTTTTATTGCAAACATTAATGAAAGTTACAACAACAACTCAACCAAATTAGTTTCACTGTCTCATCTTAGTCCCGGAAATTTTGTTGCATGTATCTACGATGCACATTGGTGTATTGGAAATGTTTGTGAAATTTCAGAAGAACAAAAAGATGTTTTCATTGATTTTATGCATCCTCATGGTTTGGCTCAGTCATTTTACGGCCTAGCACTAAGAACACTTGTTGGGTACCGGAGCAGCATGTTATTGCAGTCATTCCAGATCCAATCAGTTCTGCAACAGGTCGATATTACAATTTACCATTAATTGTTGTTTCAGACATTATTTCCAAATTTGAAGCTATTTTAAATATGTAATTGGAATCATGTTGTTTATGGTTGCGAGCAACTTATTTTTTTTCATCACTAATTTTTTTTAGTGAGTAATAAAGATTATATTAACATTAAATTAAAAACATTAAAAATCCTTGTTTTTCTTTTTTTTTTTTTCAGAAAATGTGTTTTAAAATCTGTGTTGTTTCCAAAACTACATAGCATAATCAAGTTACCTATTAACTAGGTTACGCATCTATAACTAGTGCCGCATTTGTGACGTTGGATTGATGGTGCTCTTAGGCATATGATTAATCGTCGCCTTAATGTTCGTAATAAAATTTAAAAATATATATTT